ATACATATACATATACATATACATATACATATACATATACATACATATACATATATACATATACACTTACACATACATACATATACATATATGAACTGACTGCTCTGAGCTCATTTGAGCTCATTTGAAACTTGTGCGCTACACGCTGGACTTGGCTGCAGCGCCCTCTGTTGTTTATTATTCCTACTTATGTTGATGTTGTTGTTGTTGCTGTTGTTGCTGGTTGCTGCTGTTAGCTGTTTGCTGTTTGCAGTTTGTTTGTTGTTGCTGAGCTCAGTAATCTTTAATTTCATTAAAATTCAAAGAGACGCAGCGACAGGTCCGCTGCTCCGCCCGGCTCATTGTTGCCGTAGTCGAATGTAGTTAGTGCCTTATTAGAGAGCGCGCACTTTGCCGGTCGAGCGCTCTCAGGCATTCATGAATTTCAGGCTTTAGTGCGTTGGCTGACGCGATACGCTGCTACCTGGAGTCGAGCTGGCAGCTGGATAAAAGAAAGCAATGAAGCTGGGCCCCACGTGGGAGTACATGGGGCGAGCAGGAGGCGAGCACTGTTAGCTGCTAGCTGCATTGCAAATTTAGTATGATAAGGCAGCCAGAGCCTGACCCAGTTTAAAACTTGGGTCAAGAGTTGGCTTATACTGCCCTCATTGCAAATGGCCAAGAACAGAGAGGCTATAATGCTTTTAAGATAGCTTATAAAGCAGACAAAAGGATGCGGCCAAGTAGAACTTTGAGACAGCTTACGACTTGAAGTTTTGACTTGGAAATAAGATTTCCGCTTTATGCTGGACAAAGCTATGTAATATCCCTTAGATTATATAAGGCTATAGGGCTCAAGGCATATTCGGATTTATGTATTAGCCCTTGCTGAAGGATTAGTGAACTAGATAATATTATCTAAATTCAGAATATCCAAATATGAATGTAATAATAAATATATCAACTAATAATAAAAATCGTTTCAATCTGGGCAAAATAACCTTAGATTGAGTCTTGCTAGCCTTACAGGGTATCAGTTAACCGAGCATACTCGATTCGGGTGATTGGACTTGTCATTCATATAAGGAGCAACAGGACTTGGGGCAGCTGGAGCAAGGACAACAAGAGCAACTGCAAAATATTGGCCGTGACGTCATAGCGATAGATT